CTGAAGATAACACAAGAGTCGTCTCACACGAACTACTGTGCTTGTTAACGTCGTTGAGGTCACTCAAGGGCGGGAACTCTGGGAACAAAGAAGCTTGACGAGAGAGGTTATCAGCGAAAAGATTTTTCGCACCTTCAATATAGCGAAACTCGAACTGTATGCCATATTTATCGCGAATATGGCCCAGGAGCGAATCGAAGAGATCTAATAACCGTTCAATAACAATGCGATCGTAACTTTTAGTACCGACCGTAAGCTGGGTCGCCCAGTGAACAGCACTAGAGTTGTCGCTGAACAATATTACACGCTGAACTTGAGGAGAATGAGGAGTGAAGCAGGATAACCAATGTTCTGCTGCGACACTTGCTTTATATAAGACAAGAGCCTCCTTACGATTGATGTGCCAACGCTTCTCGCGATCGCGCAGCTGAAAACTCTCAGCGCAAGCCTCAAGGAGAACTCGTGAGGGGTCATTCAGCTCAGGCCAGAGAGACTCATCGTCAGCAACTGAGTGGATACAATAACCATAACCTGACGAACTAGCGTCACAGTGTACCACCAAGACGTGGTGATCAAGGGGAATAGTATGGTGGCAACACTCACCAAGGCAAGCCGCATCTATAGTAGACAATGCATACTGATAAGCCTGAGCTTGTCGTTGATTGAGGGTCCACTGTTTATCCCACGCTGAACGACGGGAGCCTCCTGGGGACGAACCGAACCAATGGCGTAAATAGTCGCCCCCCAAGCGTACCACCTGGTGACAACGAAGGGGATCATAGTTACGACCAGCCAACATAAATGCTTGACGTCGTGAAACTCGTAAGATGCCATCCTGAGGAAGAGAGAAATCGACGGGATCAGGTTTCACACAACTGATCACCAGACGATCATCAGTAATCTTCCAGAGTAGGCCAAGATGGCGACAAGCAGCGGGTACCGTACGTAAGTCGTCACACTTCTCAGCGGGGAAATTGGAACCACAAAGGCTTGCTGTGAGAGAAAGAAGATGACGCATACGCTCGACTAAAGGCTTCTCACCCATCAAGATCAGATCATCGTAGTAATTGAGCACAATCAAGCCATCCACAAGATTGGCAAAGGAATCAATCGAAGACTCATTCACTGGTCTCTGAAGCAAGGCAGAGAAACAAGCATTTAGTAACAGTAATACGGAGGAACTCAGAGAGCTTGGACCATGCTTTAGTCCAAAGAGAATTCTATCGCTATAGAAAGCTCGGTTTCCCACCAATACTTTGATCACCTTAGGGGAGGCGATATGAAGCCTCAAAAAGGCTTTTTCCAAATCCAAGAAGCATACATCATA